TGTTGCCAAGAGAACCGCGACTGCCAAGGTTCCGATTGTAATGTGAGAGGATCTGGCAAAAAGGCCCAGGCAAGACAGGTGTGCGAACGATATGGCCGTTTGGCATTCGAGCCTGCGGCCCATGTCTGCTGGAAAGAGGCCAGACAGTAAGTCGCATGGGTCAGCTTGTGGACCTTGGCTGATCAGGACAGGACGCCAGCCTCCTCTTCTCTGCTGCTTCAGCACTGCGGCCCGCCCTGCCATTCGTCCTCCTCACCGACGACCATCACTACATCACGGCCTACACGTTGCAGACGGCCACCACGCCTGCAGACGTTGTCATTGGGAAATACTACTACAAGAAGCATGTCGACGACATCTCGCAGGAACTCGCCGATGCCCTGAGCCTTGGGGCCGCGGCCGCCGAGGAGTGGTCCAAAGGCTTGGAAGCGCGGGGCAAGGAGCGTATGCGAATCGCAGAGAACTGGGAGCGTTGGGAGGTCAAGCATCGCTGGTGGGAAGAGCATCATGATGCAAAACGGGCAACGTCGGCTGCACCCTCGACAGCGGCTACCTCGCACAGAGAGCCTACCAAGTCCCCTCCCCGCCAGCTATCGTCTCCCGTCATCCACGCTCCGGTCCCAGCGAGTAAGTATCCATCCTCTGTTGTTTCATTTCCTGTCGAAATGGGCACTACTTCTCGATATTGCAACCACACCCCTCGCCTGCCCGTCCTGACCGATGTAGTGCCCTCTTTCCATCATGCACAAGCGAGACCCCCGACTGTTCCACCACAGGTATTCACCCCGCAGCCCCCTGGAAGTACCGCACCGGGTGGTAGGAACCTCCAAGATGCAAACGAGGCCAAGGCAAACCGCAAGTCCGATATCGAGCGCCGCTGTCAGCAAATGGAAGTTCCGATCCCCCCAAACATTTTGCGCCACATGGACTCGTTCAAGGCAGCTATCCAAATCTCACAGCCAATGACGGACTACGCATGGAGCGTGCTCCAGCCCCGCTTGCTTGCCCAACTGCCTGCTGCCCAACAAGCCGAAGCTGACCACGTGGCTCGCGTAGCCGCCCTGCCCTCAAGAACAACAGATCGCCGGCAACCCGATGTGAACTCCAAGGAGGCAAAGGAAATCATGGACCGTGAATGGGATGAGTCGCAACGGCCTGTTCGCGATAGACTCAACGTCATCGCCGATGACTTCATTCATCAGGACTGGAATCAGGGAAGTGCAGTCACGTATGAAAACAGTCCCAAGTTCGCCGCCGACCTTCTCATCCACGTTCGACGCACCTATTACGCCGAAAAGCTGCAGGAAGAAGCGCAATCGTCTGATGCCCATGGACCTCCAAGGTCTGGCCCTGCTGACAATACAGAAACCACGCCAAAGCTGGTCTTGGATAACCTCAAATGGGTCTACGACAACAAGATCAAGCCCATAACGGAGCAGTTTCGCAAGGACATCTTTCTCTGCCATGGCAACGGCTGTGAATCGAACACTAGATTCTACGGCTTCGAAGGCGTCATTCAGCACTACGGGGCCAAGCATACTAACACTTTTAGCGTGGGCAACGTTGTCGTTGCGTGGAGAGAGGCAGAGTGGCCGGAAGAGACACCCTTCCATCCAGATCCCCTATCTGTCAAACATACTTACCATCATCCATCCGCCAGCAGCAGCAGCACAGTTCACGGGGCCTATCATAATGGTTTCTCACGCGCAGGCACATCCACACCGCACATGCCATCTCACGTTCCACAAGCCAGCCCTGGCCCTTATGGTTATGGTGGCCAGTACAATGGCCCCTTTGCTCCACCACAAACTCCTCATGGAGGATTACAAGGGTATGGATTTCCACAACAGTATCCACTATTCCTGGAGATGCTTATGGCCACCAAACCATGGGTCCTCCCACGTATGGACAGCCTGCACCGCACTCCTATCTGCAATCTCCTGCCATGATTGGATCTGCCATAGCACCTCCTCCAGCTGCACAGCCCCTGAGCCAAGGGATGCCGGAGCTCCATCCGGGTATGAGTGAGGATACTGGTCACAGTACTAGCTCATTTGATAGGCAAGTAAGTACGGTGATCAGCCTGGCCCAAGAAATTTGGAAACAAACGTCGGGAATCAAGGACTTGCCAAACAGTCTCCGCGTATACGTTCTCTTGCACCGTATCATCTTCAGATTTCATGTCGAGTTCAATCATGAACCTAGCTTAAATCATTTCATCGACGCTTTATCCAGTCATGAAATACCCAAGGCTTTGAAGAATGCTCCTGGCCTATCCTGCAAGGCTTGTCAAACAGGAGCACTCCTCAGCCAGCATGCGAACGCTTACTATGCAAAGGCGGAAGAGCGGAGAACGTATACTGTGTTGAATTTGTTGTCGCATTTCAAGTCTCAGCATTTGCCCTATCAACCAATGGGTGCCCATGGACCAATGCCAACCTTGGACTGGAAAGAAGACATGATTGAGCTGCCCAGTGAGCGCATCATCGCCGGCCTTATCCATGCCCCTGGAATGGACGATGAGAAGCTTCACCTGATAGCAAGAATCTTCCCAAAGTCCTTTCCAATGCCTCTGCCCAAAATTGGAGTGATTGACAATCATGGAGTAGCTTCACCCGCCTCGTCGGAACCCAAAGATGTGACAGATGCTCCCGGCCCTATTGATACCGAAGAGGAACCGGAGAAGGCACGCAACCCCGCACTTGGATCTGGCCCTAGAGATTCCTCACAGCCTTCTACTGTGAAGGGGGATGAGTATGACCCTCGCCGTCCAGCTCTGACAACCGAGACGAATGACCATGCAAGCTCCAAGACCAAGAAGCGATACTACGAAGAAAGTCCGCCTGCTGTGCGCCGACAACGCTACCAAGCGGAGTCGCAATATTATGTCAGTTGTACACAAGTAGTGACGTTGCCTGCCGCTTGAGGCTAACATGTTTGTGCGTTAGATGTCTAGGGAGCATCCAGACGATGGATATTCGCATCCACGAGAATACATTGAGTATGGTCCAAGTCCAAGGATACCCCATGCTCGGCCCTTGTATGAGGAATACACTGGTCGTAGGACGGGCTTCCGTGAACAGGACAGATTCTATGGCCCGCCACCTGAACACGTCGTTTACACACACGCACGAGATGAAAGCCACGGCAGCCGAGAACGCGAGTACGGCTCATACACCCGTCGATACTATGAAGAAGAAGATCCACAACCGGACTATCGATACATGAGCGATCATCCTTCACGAGATGCGAGTCCACGCCGGGGGCAGGCTGCTGCTGATCGCTTCCTTGAGGAGTTCGTGCCCGGTCCGGCTCCTCCAACCGATCCTGTTCCAGTGCCTACGCCGCCGGAGCCAGTGCCTACTCCATCAGCGCCTAATGCCGACGAAGGTTCGCGATACACGCCCACTCCTCCAAGCGTGTCCGCTGCTGGAGATGCGGCCCCGCAGAGTCGACCACTTGCACCTCCACTCCCTAGAGCTCCGTCTACAGTCTCCAATGGATCTCGATACGATGAGTACTATCCGCCCCGTCATATGCCTGCACCCGAATTTGGACCATCAAGGAGATCTGGACCGCAACGTAGGAGGGATCGTCCTCACGAACAGCGGATGCCGTCCCGATACTACCGATATATGAATGTCGCGCAACGTGAGGATCGTGGCTCGAGCATGAGTCGGTCGCAAAGTAGACGCTACGAGGAGCAGCGTCGCCGTATCGATCAGCAGGAGACGCCGCAACCTGGTGCGATACCAGAGTATGAACCGGCGTATTCCCGAGATGCCAGTATCGATCATCCCTCCCCAGACAACAGCTTCCACCCACCAGCACGCCGTGCACCAGGTGGCTATGTGTCTGTTCAGGACCGATACCACCAGTCCTCTCCTCCGCGCTTCCGTTACGAGGATCATCGTAGACCGCAAACGGTCTACGTCGATGAGTATGGTCATCCGATCCAGGACTATGAAGTCGTTCACGTGCGCGCCGATCCTCGACACCCACGTGCTCAGTATGTGCATCAACCTCCGCGATACGAGCCTGAGCACTATCAATATGTCCCCATGCCTTATGAGCGGCCCCCGCCACAGAGGTACAATAGTCGTGAGCAACATTACATGTACTATGATGAGAGGGAAAGGCCGCTTCCGAGACGGCCTGCGCCTGAGTCGGAAGCAGAGTTTAATGAGCCACCGCCGCCGGAGATCAAGGTGGAAAGTGTGCCGGTGCCCATGCCAGAGGCCAATTGATTTTGTTTTTTTTCTTTCTTTCTGATTTGACTTGAGGAGTTTGATAGGATATAGTGTCGTGCGGATCTCGGGATTTTTTTGTATAGCGTTGGCGTCTGTGCTTTGCCACAGTCCTCAGTGTGGTGATTTACGGATAGATTTTTGGTCTGTGCGTTGTCAGTCAAAGGGGATGAATGCTGATGTTGTTCTTCTTCTTTTCCCCACTTTTTTTGGGGGAGGGGGGGAGAGAGGTTAGAAGGTTTCGGATAGGCTCTTGGGCTGTATGGTGATGATGATCATGATGACGGTTTTATGACTTGCACTTGTTCTGGTCTACTCTTTTCTTCTACTCTAGTCTACTGTTTTTTGTCTTCTATGTTTTATTTCTCATTGTTTATTGTTTAAAGTGTTAATGAAGATATGATTCTACCGCACCTTGCACCCCTCTTTCCTTCCTCCTTGTAGTTCACTTCATGTTATCGCTTAAGGCTTGCGTTCTGGTGATGTTTAGATGGATATACTGTGGGTTTTGGGGGGACGTTTGAGGGGTTGAATTGGGTGGCGTGTATGATGGGTTTTTGGGCTGGGTGTTTGGGGGGTTGGGGTGGATGGATTGTTTTGAAGGGTTGTGCGTGGCGGGAGAGAGGGAGAGGGATTTGAGGAGAAGCTTGTATGGCTATGGTGTAATGGTTTGTGTAGACTGAATTAAGGAAATAGAGGAGGTTTATGGAGGTGAATTGGGATGGGTTGGGATGGGTTAGGACTGAATAGTCATGGTGAAAGAGAAAACAGTCGTGGCTTTTTATTTGGTCTGGCGGCCTTGTAGAGGGTATCAAACAAAGTAGGAAATTTAGGTTCGAAATGGGTTCCATGTGCGTCATGATGAAGCCAGGGCATTGGCTTCTTCCGACGACTTGCTTTCTACATTGTTGGCAGCCGCATCGATTCTGTTTTGTGCTAGTCGCTGTGCTGGAGTTAGTCCTGTGATGATGGTGATGATGATGACGCGAGGAGCTAGGTATTCTTCTTACCAGTAGATTTCTCAACAAGACCGCGATAGTCACCTTGCCGATAGCGGGCACATATATCGAAGCCTTTTCCTTGACTTCGGGGGTGAAGTTGCGCTCGCTGGAGAAGTTGATGCAGACGGCGCCGTCCTTCATCGTCTCCAGCGGCACCTTGTACTTGTCGCCCGGCACACCGCTGATGACGACGTCACTGATGGGTAGGCAGTTTTCGATTGTCCACCCGGGCTTCTCCACGACTTCGTGTCGTCGCTTGCGGAGCCCGACGCCCCGGGTGAATTCTTGCACGTCGTTGATGTCCACGCTGTATACGTGCGCACCGTCGTTGGCAAGCAGGGCTGCAAGCGGCCGGCCGACTACTTCGCTCCTGTTGATGACGGTGATGGTTCGTCCGTGCAATCTATTTCCGTAGGGGAGGATGGTGTTGTAGATTCTTAAGTACTCCCAGATCTTGGATCACGCAAGGGGTGGTGCAAGGAAGGATACTTTTCTTGGTGTTTGCAGGGTCCAGGAAAGCGGATGTTCTGGTACATGTTGAAAATGTATCGATGGGACAGGCCTTCGACATCCTTGTCGATTGACACAATCTGCTGCAGGTACTGGTCCTGTCGATTGCCAAAGATGGGGTAGTAGACAATGATGCCGTCGACGGAGGGATCATTGTTTGCTTCGATGAGCTGGTCTTCGAGCAATTCACGGTCCACTTCGCGCAAGTCGAATGCAAAGCCACTATCATGTGCATCAGTGGGCTGTGGCTGGGGGTGGAGAGAGTCTTGTCTTGGGGAACTTTCTCACTTCTCGACACAGGTTTTGCCCGTCCATTCGGCGTAGACGCGCGCGGCGGGATCTGCGCTGGACAGGAAGCCTACGAGTAGTGGCTTGCGATCAATCTTGCTGAGGCCACCGCGGACTTCCTCCAGCAGGCTTTTGGCAATGTTATTTGCGAGTATGACTTTGCAGTTGGGTTTCTCCTCGGCCATGGTGGGTGGGGGTGGTGCTGTATGTTTTGGGCAAGAGGCAAAACCACTTGGAAACTCTGGGAAAACCGTCAATCGAAGTGAATGCTGAGCAATACAAGTCGATAAAACCAAGAGTATCAGTCTGGAATCTTGTTCAATTGAACTCTTTACGTTGATGCCCGCCCACCATACCATCTCACAGCACTTTTTTTTTCTCCTGCAAAAACTGCCCCACTACCGATACCGGCCAATCAGCGCAGCCGCGAATTTCCAACGTCATCGCGGGAGTCCGCAACTTTACGACTCGCGTGCGCCAGACCACGCAGACATCGATTCACCCACCAGCCCAGCAAAGGACGCGTCGCTACTATGTCAGATATCCAGCAGTATCTGTTGGACTATGACAAGAACAAGACCGAGGCTACGGCGACAGCCCAGCAAAGCGCGACCCGTAGGTGCACAATTGGTGGAGGGGGACGAGGAGTGGAGGGGTGATGGGTCGAATGACGGCTGATGGGACGACAGGACTCAAGAATGGCGAGTTGAAACTCATAAACCTGATTACGGGCCTGGGCGAGTATCTCAACAGTGAGGATGGCGCCGTACGGTCAAAGAGTGGGTGGGCTTCTTCTCATTCGTAGTACAGTGCTGACAATCATGCAGCCATGTCTTACCTCGCAGAGGTGCTCGCCTCGGTCCCTCCCAAAACTTTGTCTCTGCAACAGCGTACGTACAATACTTGAAACAACTACACGCCCTCTTTGGAAAACTCTCGGTCATCCCGTCAATGTCCTATAATCTCGAACGGCTGCAAAGCAATGATTGGGCGAATGCCCACAGTCGGGGTTGCGTCGTGTTGAATTGTATACCGTCGAGACAGGATATGCACAGTATTGGAAAACTTTCAGATTGGACTGACTGAACATCAGGGAATCTGCTTTGCGACTTCACCCTCTCGCGGACCGAGGACAATGAGGGGTTAGGCTCGTGTGCGAAAGCGTTATTGGCGCTAGAAGAGTTGGGCAAGTGGGACGACGAAAGAGTTGTCGCCATCATGGAGGCCTTGCTCACGAATACACATCCATTGCGCCAGTTTAAACAACAAAGCGAGCGATACCCAGTCCTGCGCCTTGTTGACACACTCATGGCGAAGTACCGTGAGGCACTACGAGCCCATCACGATTCAACCACCGATTTTATGCCGCGGTTCATATCGTACTTTGATGGTGAAAAGGATCCACGCAATCTGATGGTGGTTTTTTCGATCCTAAAAGTGCCAATGACAGAGTGGCGTATTGGTGCAGACGCTCAAGACCTCTTTGATGCTGTCTTCAATTATTTCCCCATCACTTTCCGGCCGCCGCCAGACGACCCATATGGCATCACTGCACAAGATCTCAAGGATAGACTGAGGGACTGTATATCTTCTACGGCAGACTTTGCACCGTATGCTTTCCCAGCACTTTTAGACAAACTAGACTCGACCTCCATGAACACCAAGCGAGATGTCCTCACCACCATCACAGCCTCGGTCAACGCATATGGACCACGAACAGTATCACTATACTCTATAACCCTATGGGACGCATTGAAATTCGAAATCCTTAATGTTCAAGAGGAGGATCTGGCCAAGGAAGCTTTGACAGGACTAGCGACAATTGCGAGAACGTTGTCCGAAGGAACACCTGGGCCACTCAACGCCTATCTCAGATCAATCATCAAAGAATGTAACGAGCATCTTGAAGATGCACCCACGAAGCAGTCGCAAGCTGCAGCAAGAATACTGCACAGCATTGCTGATGTGTCGCCTGAAGTCACAAACCTGCTCTTAGCAGGCGTACTACCAACACTCTTTCTCCTATTCCAGACGGCAGAGACTATGGCTAAGCGGAGAGGCCTACTTGAGGTCCTTGTGCAGCTTGTCCGAGCAAATATCAATGTCTACGGCGATTGGAGAACGACAGGGCCTGGCGGAGAGAGATCAGACAACAATGCGTTGGCACAGTTCCGAGGCGAGGCATTAGAGGTCATGATGAATGGACTGGAGACCGCTCCGAGCAAAGAAGTGTCATTCCGTCTGGTATGCCTTGATGGCTTGATCCAGCTATCAAAGTCACGGCAACTACTAAGCGATGAAGATGTGGGCAGAATCATCCAACTTTTGCACTCTATAGTCATACACGAGGATTCTTACGGCAAAGACGAAGTCAAAGAAGCAGCCATCAACGGGATTGTGGATATTGCACATCAAAAACCCCAGGTTGTAGTAGAAAAGGCTTTCCCTGCATTCCTGGCTCAATTGCCAGACTGCGATGCAGATGGCTCGCAAAGCTATACAACCGTCTTGGAGGCCTTTGCAAAGCTGGCGAGCGAAGAGCAAGTCTTTGACACTGTCATCTTGAGACTGAAGAATAAGTTCAGCGCCGCTGTCTCCCAAGGTGCTTCCTCCACGTACATTGTCGCGTTGCTATCGGCTATACTCTACGCTCTCAAGAAGGGTGAACAAAAACTATCGCAGAACTCGGAGACGTCATCATATTACCAAGATATTGCGCTCCCGTTGATCCAGCGCGTGTCCAGCTCCGACGCATCACGCCCAGCCGCTTTCAATGACGAAATCACACTCGATCTCGTTGGTCGCATTTGCAACCTCATAATCCGTTCGCAATCAGCCGAGCAACAAAGCACAGTTGCCAGAGAGCTGTACACCCTCTTCCGCCAAACACCACAGTCTGAACTACCACCCTTCAACACAAACTCCGCGCTCGAATCCCAAAGAACAATGAGTCTATCAACACACCTTCTCGCCTCGCTCCGTAAAGAAACTCCTCTCCCTTGTGAGACTCCAGACCTCGTCTCGACTCTCATAATATACGCTCAACAGCCAGCCCTCACCACGCCCATCCGCTCAGCCACCCTCCGCCAAATCTCTCTCGTCATCAACAAATTTTACACCACCTCTGCACTAAAAACGTGCATAGATCCGCTGTTTACTACTTTCGATCTCCTCAATCCGGAGAAGCTGGACCCTTCAAGGATACGCGTTATCTTTGCCTGCTTGAAAGCCATCGTCTTGCGCAGCAGTCCCGCTCTTAACACGCTCTACCCGCAGCTTCTCTCTCTCCTATCGCATCCCACATATGGTAGCACTGTTGCCCAGGGGTTCCAGACTCTTCTCCAACCAGATGACTTACTAACCAAGCCAAACCACTGCCAGATTCTGGGTTTACACAAGCACAAGACATTTGCGTTATTGGTGCCGAGCATTGTATCCGCATTCAAGCAGGCGGACGCGGCGACAAAAGGCAACTACCTCATCGCGTTGAGCGGTGCACTGATGTGGATGCCGTTTGAAATCGTCGTCGAGGACGTGGGACAACTCGTCACTCTGCTCCTCCAATCCCTCGATCTCCAGGGTGCAGACACAGTGCACGTCAAGGAAGCTGCCATTGGTACCCTCACCTCCACCCTCCAGGACAAGCCATCCGTCCTCGAAGAACACGCAGGCAGCCTCATCGCCCGCCTGTTGGCGAATTGCACGCTCGTTGGCAATTCGAAGAAGAAGGACGAGGTCAAGTTGCCGTCGGCTGCGGTGCGCACGGCGGCGCTGAAGTGTCTGAGGCTGGTGGCGGAGAAGTTTGGGGAGCAGGTTGTGGGGCGGTATAGGAGGGAGGTTGTTAGGCGCTTGGTTGGCGCGCTGGATGATGGGAAGAGGCGGGTTCGAGGGGAGGCGGTGAGGTGTAGGATGAAGTGGTTGGAGGGTGGGGAGGACGAGGATGATGACTGATCTCGTGGTTTTGGTGTGATGGGCGCGAGCTTACCAAAGCAGTTGGGAGCGTATATGACGATCATCTAAGGTGTGGGGGGGTTCTTGTATCAAAGGTACTGCGGGCGGGTTTGTCACACGGATCGATCAAGGAATTATTCAAATGTTGAGTATTAAGGAATCGGATCAGAGAAGAACTTTTTTTTTTCAATTTCGAACACGCGCAGGGTACATCAGAACTTCGTCTGAAACTTGTACTCGGGGGCAGTTGTGTACGACGATAAATAAATAATCCGCTGCTGACAGTGATTGAAACGAAAAAAGAGAAAGAAGAAGACAACGCCAGGTATGTTCCCGAAAACGCCAGGCCGATGCAAAGAAACTCGACAGGTACACGTTCTCTAGACCTTCTTTGATTTTTTGGAAGCCGCATTCTCCTGCTCGCTTTCCTCGTCCTCGACGCCGACTTCCTCGTCTGCTTCTCCCCTTGAGCGCTTCAAGCCCTTCATCTTGCGCGTCTGCAAATTGGCAAAGTCTTGTTTGCCAACGTGAATCTTGCCTGTCTTGTCGCCCATGATATCCGTGTCGATATTCTTCTTCGTGCGCGGTTCGGCGCCCTTTGGCTTCTTGAGCGCCTGCTTCATCATGTCTGGGTCTGGGAACATTTCGCGGCCGAGGGTCAAGTCCATGCGGGGACCCATTTCCTCGACTTCGATGCGGGGCAGTTTTTGGCCGGAGCGCTTGGTGCGCAGGAGGTAGAAGCGGAGTTTTATTTCGGGGTTGGGGAGGGCGTCGGTGGGTTCGGCGGCGGAGATGGAGATGAGGTATTGGAGGCCTTCGACGTCGACTTCGGATGCGTCTTGGCCTTTGAAGAGGTCGATGAGGAGGGATTTGGCCAGTGTGTATTTGGTCTGTGTGGGGTCTTCGAAGACGGTGCCGTGGAAACTCATCAAGGGCTTGAGGCCGATGGATGGTTTCTTGTTCTTGAATTGTTGCAGTGTGCGGAAGGTTTCGGCGTTGATGTAGAACTCGAGCATATCTAGCATCTTGTGCGAGAAGGTGCGCGCCACTGTCAGGCAGTTTGGACGCTTCTTGGAGTGCAGCGATAGCACGATGAGCGAGGTGTCATTTTTCAGACTGAAGAACTCGAGTGAGGAGGCATCATCGAATGGGTGGATGTCGTTCTTCTTGGTGAACCGCTCGATAAAGGGCCGCTTTAGGGTGCAGAGGTCGGCGACGGCGAGTTTGAGGATTTGAGATGTCTTTTGGCCAGAGACGAAGAGGGTCGTTTTCGGGTTTTCGGTCTGTTGGGGCTCGCGCTTTGCGAGGGCGCGTTTTGCGCGGGCATTCTTTGGCTTGCTAGTGTGACGACATTAGTCCTGCGATGATATTGGCTAGCTATATTATAGGGGAAGGTTAGACAAGACATACACTGTCTTCAACATGGCGTTGTTGGGGTATACTTGGTTGCTGCAGCTGCTCGAAATCTTGGCATGCGACAAAAAAGTTACAAAAAGTTCCTACCTGGGCTGCACCGGGGGCCGGCAGAACAATTGGCCGATCTGAGTCAGCCTGGCGCCGGCCTGGCCTGACATCTGATAAGTCAGTCAGCCAGTGGCGGGGCAGTTCCGCAATTCGGCGGGCTCGGAGGGGCAATCAGGGCAAGCGCAAGATAATTAAGGCGTTTTCCGTTCTTACGCCATTCATCCATTTCCTATCCCATCCTCAGTAGTCTCTCTCTCGTGCTGACAAGACTACTCAATTCTTCTTCCTTGGTAACCCCACCGCCGAACCACCTACTAACCATGTCGTCGATACGCGAAATCACCGACGAAGACCACTTCCAGTCCACCGTCGCCGCACTGCCCTCCTCGACCCTCGCCGTCATCTATTTCCATGCGCCATGGGCCAAGCCTTGCGAGCAAATGTCCCTCATCCTCTCCACACTTGCCAGCACATATCCTCCTGACGCTCCCATCGCCTTCCTCGCCCTCAACGCGGAAGATATACCAGAGATCTCGGAGCAATATGACGTCACATCGGTTCCCTTTGTGGTTCTGCAAAAAGACGGCAGAACATTGGAGACGGTTTCTGGCGCAGATGCAGCACGCACACGTGCCGCAGTGGAGAAGTATGCGGGCGCAGGCACCGGGTCAGCCGAATCCCGTTCAAGTCTACCGCCTGCCCAGACGGTTACACGGCCGCCTGTTGCAAATGGTGTGAATGGCGAGCCGGGAGCAAAAGATCTTGCGGACTATGCACCGAGTGCGTCGGAACAAGGGACTGCGCCCTCATACACGGCGGACGCGGGCGAGCAGGAGACCAACAAAGAGGAACTATTCGCACGTCTGAAGGAACTGGTCAAGGCGGCGCCGGTCATGCTCTTCATGAAGGGAACACCAAGTGCGCCACAGTGTGGCTTTAGCCGGCAGACTGTGGCGGTGCTGAGGGAGAAGAACATCAGATATGGTTTCTTCAATATCTTGGCGGACGATGAGGTTAGGCAGGGATTGAAAGAGTATGCGGATTGGCCGACGTTCCCGCAGTTGTGGGTGGATGGGGAATTGGTTGGCGGGCTGGACATTGTGAGTACCTTACTGACTGAGCTCAGCGGCTCGAGATGGCAAAGAGCAGACAAAGTACTGACGGTGTATAGGTCAAGGAAGAGTTTGAGAACGACCCAGAGTTCCTTTCACAATACTCTGTCAGCACATCAAAAGCAGCAGCTTAAGGACCTAGGCCAGACACTACACTGCAGGTCTTTGACACCAGATCCTCGAGGCCGGTATTTTCATAGCTCATAACTGGTCATGAGCGCATGTGAGATGCCTTGGAGAGCGAGTATAATTTCAATTTCACGATGCCATGAGACTGGGCGGTATTTACATTTTGACTGTAACGAAATCTTCTATGCGTTGGCCCTTGCGTACGCCCTCCAATACCAAAGCTTTTGTGGATAGATAAGATTCAGTACACACTTCTCAGGACGAAAATATCCCTCTTTAGACATGTTGCCTGGTTATATCAAAATATCATATGTATTATCTTGATATCGTTTCAAAGATCACGTGTTGACTAGCTCAGATTGTTTACGAATAGTCATGTCCTTCCAGTGCTTTTTTCCATCATCACGTACTCTATTATTAGCACCATGTTTCACGAAGAACTCATACTAGGCGCCTTTCTGCTCTGCTCCTGCTGTCCATATACAGTAGCACATGTATTACCGAAAGACTCAAGACAAAGGGAAAACAAGGATTGTGGCCATGTGGATGCTGCCATCCCAAAGTTAGTCAGAATAATGGTTGTCTTTCATGTAAACTTAGATAGAAACCCATCATACACCGGTGTCCGTGCGATTCTGCCAATTGTCACGAGAACTAGACTATACATGACTTTCTTAAAGAGGGTATAAATGTACACTGGCTCTTTTGCTAGAACTTGTGTCCTATCTCCTTGTATGCAAAAAATGAGGCAATGCACTCAAAACATGGCAATTGTGTTCCATGGAGAATCTATGCTGGTTAACTCACCCAATACCAGCACCGTGAGCGGACTACCTGTCCATTTTGTTTGCATTGAACAAGGCATAATCAACCAAATGATGAGGTACCTCTATGGCTGTTTCCTGTGAATTGAAGCAATTGAAAGGCAACCTTATCGAATTGGCTGGACGGCCTCGAAATCAATCTCTCAGATTTCCATATGCAGTCCTAGGAGATTATGGAAACCTCCAAATCAAAGCTTCATGTGTTGTGCTGTGTTCTGGAGGATTTATATTCCCTGGTCTATGGTGTGGGGAAATCTCTTGGCGGATATATAAAAGCATCCATGGGAAGCCGGACAGCGAATTCTACAATTGCTTTCGTATCGAAACGCAGGGAACGCAAAACAATATCAAGAATATGCATGATCTCGAGGCATGTGATAATCATAATAATCAGCGTTAAGAACTTTCAGAGAAGAATGAGAAACACGGATATTTGTGGTTAGCATTGCTCGGTGGAAAATGATGATGAGGTGAACCATTTACCGCCTTTATCGTGATCATTGGTATTAAGGTACATGGCCTATACCTATGCCGCCATCTTCTCTCCAAAAGATTGATTGATCGACCCATTAGTACTTTGAATCTTTCAGGACTGTGAAGACTGGTGTTCTAGAAAACCCGCGAATGGCCAAATGATGCCCTGCATTGCGCTGTGTTTGGATGTGTTTAAATTCCCCACCATCAACCTCCGTAGAGTGGGGGATGAACCAGCGAAGGGCGCATCTCCTCCTCCGGACCTATAAACCAAAGCATCATGTGCATGATCCTCGACGGTTTGCGGCCCTGTTTCACACACAATCTGAGTCAGGATCATAAACACAATTCAAAAAAGGCTCACAAGATGACTGCTGTCTGTGTCTTGGAGATTATACCAAAAGCAAAACCAATATCATTGATGTCTAGAGTCGGTCCTGCGGAGCTATACCGAGTGTTACTAATTCAGGCATGAAGTCTTTATTCCGTAATGCACATTTTAAAGAAATCGGACACTGTAGTCATGTCTTCACAAGACAAGGCCATTGGCTATAGGGAAGAGCTAGTTCTTTGCAATAAAATTGCTGACAAATGTCAAGTTATTCGTGTTCTGATCAACCACAATATATTCATGTCTGCAAAGCATGACATATTTTGGGAATGTCTTGTGTTAATTTTGCAGAGCTATAAGCTCTCACTTACATAACTCAAGATCTTCCACTTCACGGTTTTATATTATTATACTCCTCAAAAGAGAGAGTAATCACAGAGATGCTTTGCACAATATCATATGTTAATATCTTTGCAGGAACCCCGTTATGAGTTGCTTGTGGCGCTATTTAAAACGCAGAAATCGAAATCTATTACGATCTGCGTTCTCAAAAACCGATCCTTCTTCACGACCATTTTCAAGCATGTTGGGACGCAGAGGATGCGCGACTGTGAGGAGAGCCATTTACTTATCTGAGTATAACGTCCTGCTGGCTTAGGCCTTGATATTTCCTTCCCCATCAGAAAAAGCGGGTTCGAAAACAAATGGCGTCTCAAAATATCTATGGTGGCGTTCTGCACATTCAAATTCAATAATATATACAACCTGACGAGCAGAGATCGTCGTGTACGTTGTATGGGCAGTCAGGAAAACTACTGATGTGTCGGAGCAGAGGACCGTCGAAGGGTTCACATCTCAATACCAAATTCTCCGGGCGAGAAATGGGAGGAATATGGTATCAAAACTCGACCATGTTCCTGTCTCTGTCCCCTATCTCTTAAGCTGGATGCATCAATGAATGAGCATGCGCATGCGGACGGAGAGTTATTTCAATGTGCGTTCTTACTATAATAAGTTCTTTGTGTTTCTAACTATAAGTCACAAGCTTCTTACACCCTGAGCTGAAGGACACGATTAAAACTAGTTTGGCGCAAAAGATAGCAAGCGGTAACCTCATGAGCTTGACGAGAGAAGGATCAGGAGTTTGAAAATCCTTTGACCGGCGAAGATATTAGAGGCATTGCACAACATGACTTGTGCAGTATGCTACTGATTTACGCTTGTGGTGAAACAGTAAGACACATTAATTGTGCTTGAGAGGGTTTCTCTACATAATATGTATAAACTTAGAGTTGTAGGACTACTATTTCTCAACTTGCTTCTCTCTTAGATCCAAAACAGGAGTGTGAAGATTCAACGATCCTTGATTTTTTTAGTCTCAAATGAACAATCGTACCTGAATTATGTGAGCATATATCTGCACTCCTTGTCGCAAGTAAAATAAAATACAAGGAAAATATCGTCATGTGGAGCGCTGGTCAGAGCTGGTCAGATTTTAAAACCGGATATGCCATCAATGTGCTAGGAAGTTGTCCCTTTCTAGCTTCTTTGCGTCAGATATAGGGCCCAAAGAACCCCAAGGATATCAAGCGAGGTCATATTAATCACCCAACTTTGACCAGTGAAAGGCTCTATAATTAAACTAAACGAGTGAGCACTCCTCACACTCATCATCTACATTTCTTCTTCTGTAGAAATAAAAAACCCACAACAAGGCTAAGCATGCTTTTCTCCTTTGACTGATATTTGCAACTACTAATTCACATGATCACATCTGTTTTAGGTTTTAATCTGCGAAACCTAGAATGGCGCATGAAGTTTACAATTTCTTAGCAGCATCTTTCACTACGGTACAAAACCGGTTTACATAAAGTAGACTAAGAAGTGGTTTAGGTAGAAGAAGTAAACCTAAATAGGGTTTATTATACTATGTATTCTATAAAAGTAAACTACTTTTATTTCTACTTCTATTAATCTACTAGTATTACGTAGTAATACCTAGTTTCCTACTATTTAAGTATTTTACCCCTCCTTTCTTTAATCTTCTTCACCACCTCCACCACCTCTATTATCACCACCTCTATTATCACCACCTCCACCACCTCTATTATCACCACCTCCACCACCTCTATTATCACCACCTCCACCACCTCTATTATCACCACCTCTATTATCACCACCTCTATTATCACCACCTCCTATTAGTAAAAATATCATGACTCATTATTATGTTATATGTGCGTATAGCGTAAAGCTAATCTTTTCTACCCCTTTTAGTCTTAGTTAGGTATTATAGCGTATAGGAAATAAAACTACTTTTTATACTTAATTTAAACCCCTACTATAAAAGTAAACCACCACTTTAAACCTATTTACGGGTATATATAAGGTTAGTGTACACCTATATAGTAAACCCCTAGCGTACTATTCTATAGTAAACAATTTTTTACCGTAGTGTTTGGTGACCTGAATATGATGTTTCATCAACTGCATGACTAATCAATAGCCATTAAGTCTAATTGAAGTTGATGTAGGGAAATTCCGCGATGAAAATTCAATCCAACACAATCCCTCATCCGTATCATAGAAAAGAGGTGCAGTCAATCGTGATGGCAAGATTTGAAAATGATCAGATTGGGGTGCATGATGAACTGAGATCTTCAAACCAGTGGTGCAACTAAATCCCAAAATCAAAAGGGAAATGAAATTTTGCCTTCTGCAATCATGAGGCTTGTAAGCATCACTTCTAGAGAGGAGATGCGACAGTTTGAAGCTTATAGACAGGATCGCAAATGCTGGTCCTCCACTAAAATAGCTGGCACATGTGCAATTGTCTCGTGTAAACATACAATGCACGCTCTTAAAGTTTGATGTCTGCCCCTGACATAGATCAAACACGGTTGGCTCATGACTTCAACTCCTTCTTTTACTACCTTTAGAAACATGGATATAGGATTTGAAAGCACACAACCCATTTTTATCTGAATTTCCTATTCGATAGCTGCATGCTTGGGCCGAATAAGAAAAGACATGGGTTCCTCTCATAAACTTGCCGAAGCGTCTACCTCAAGATATACTGGTCTCTGGCTGAGTACTATCTCACACGATAACTCAGATAAAGATGGCGTAGTATCGAACCATTGATCTTTGGTGTGCTTAGAATTCGTCACGTACAGCATCACGGCACGCAATGGTGGATAAAACCATTGCTTTCCTGGAAAACATGCCATGTGATCTAATTCATTCCAGGCATGTGGAACCCATCCATCGAAATAACATGGACCCAGTCTCCTCACCTGACTTAGCTCCACAATCTCACCAGAGCACGAGTCTACAAATACCTCACCTCACCTGCACAACTTCCTGATTAATATGGTGGCCTTTTTACGTTTCCCAACCTGAGAAGTTCATAATTCAGGCCATTTCGCGCTTATGCTCTGTTCAAACAAGTATTTTGGGATCGTTCATTTAAGATGGATCTTTGTGTATACAACTCTATGCCCTGTATATCTAACAGGAGGCTATGAAATGCTGGAAAAGGGCGCGATGTCTTTGGGTTGTTGGCGTTTTGCAGTCAATATTCAGTCGCGGATGTGTGGTGATAGATTTGCAGCTGCGGCAGTTGCCTGTCTACCACGGACTGTCTTACAGTTGCTATGACATCGCTTCGAAAATGACGACATTGAACTCTATGTGATTAGGCATTGCTGCATTGTTTCCGATCACATGGCGAGAGCCAAGAGTACAAACAAAGTGCTAAGGAGAAATCATGTGCCCTGTCATTTGCTGCTTTATGGCCACCATGTCTTGTATAAAACGAACTTGGCACATAATCATACATTTTGAAACAATCGCTTTCTTTAAACCAAAAGCAGTGAAAACCGCGCATTAGAAGAAGCCATGGCTTAATCGCAGAAGTCATGCGGCTCATTATCATCGCCCAGAGCAATAAAACTACATATATAAACCCCTTTGATATCCCAAAGCATAACCACACTTCCTTAATCCCAGCCTTCGAATCCCAAACTCCCAAGCGAGACCAGATGCTCCTCAAGTCATGAGCTTTCTATTCAAGAAACTCCATACCAAAAACCAATGAGGCACGGTCCAAAAGTGCACGCACGACGGGATGATGAGTTGTGTGGAGAAGATTTTCCGCCCGGCTGTTAAGAACCTACGTGATCGAAATCGAACGTGTGTATGCCAGTTCTGCCACGGATGCAAAGTCTGAGGGAAATGAAAAAGTAACAAGGCCTTGCGATGTGTGAAGATTTGTGACCAGACTTGAATGATGTTTGGCAACCAATGCAGGCTGGAAAAGACATGTACCACAGATGCGTGATGCTGGCAAACTATAAGTGCGCTCATATAATGTCCTTTGGAAGTACAAGGAAGGTTGTATATTTCTCGTGCAGCAACCTGTGATGTTTGATTGGCATAGCAACCACATGGGCGCATATACTCCCACAACCCGTCGCTTCTCCAAACATCGTTCGGGTCGCAACTGACCAGATTCATTCAACCGGCGATATGCACATGTTGCAAGTTGGATTCTCGACGAAACATGCACTGGGAGTTGTGCAGTGTGTGGTTCTGTATGTGTTGCAAGTATACATCGTTTGCTTGATGGGTGTTGGAAACGGTTCGTAGGATGGGACATGAGGAACAGGTAGGGAGGGTAAGGTTACCTAGGTTTTCTCTCAGCCCGAGGACTGTACCTACGACCATCAAAATCAACCTTTCGATGTCTCGAGAGTGACGATAAGCCCGATGCTATCTAGGATACAGCAAAACAAGGGGACATGAAACGAACTCCACCAGACATATCAGCTTCTGAAGATATGGTAGACACGCCGCTTTCAAAGAAACATTCATTTCCTCTTCCACCGTAATCTGCGAGGCATGGCAAACTATCTGCATGGTGGTGGCGGCAGTCGCCTGCCTGGGACTGAAATGAGAGGACGCCGATGTCGATGTATGGGCTTGATGTACCTAGACTGGCGAGACTATGGGTATAGTTTGGCGTTGGGTGTTTGTGGGTGTCTGAATCTTCACGTAGGGTGCGATTAAGGCAATGATGGCTTGACGTTCTCAAGGATGTCGACAAGATCTAGCGCGAGTCCGCGACGACAAGTGCTATTCTGTACCTTGTGAACAATACACTGTGTGTGATGATCTAATGGATCAGATTAAACCCGAGAAATGAAATTTTCTCTGGTATTCCCGTAGAGAGGCAAGGGAAAACGTGGGTATCATGGTGATTACAAAAGAAAGAAAAGAGAAAAAAAAACTACAAACTCGAAACACTCGTACTACTACTAGCGACAGCCTGCTTTGTCTTCTTCGAAAATTGTTCCATCTGTACCAAGGACATTTCATCATTGTCCATGTGCTGAACCTCAAACGTCTGCGTATATGTAATGGAGCGTGGAGGCTGTGAGCTCGCCTGTGAAGATTTGCCCAGTACCATTCCACTTCGCCTCTTGCTCGCTCCATGGCTGCGACCGTCGTTGTGGCTGCCGTATGCGTAATACGGTTGACTGGGTTGGTGGGTCGTTCCCATGAGCGAGGGGAAGGCCTTGACGAGGATGACGCGCAGTGCTGGTAGACAGGCGCATATGATTCCTACGTTGATCTCGACGTTGGACCACTTGATTACATCGGCCTGGTCCCAAGTTGGGTTGTTGGAAGTGGCAAAGTTGACGAGGGATTGGAGGCGGAGTATCGAGACTACGGTTACGAAGGTGCCGACGCAGAACATGACTGCTACGCTGATCTTCTTCCTCCACGAGAGTTGCAGGTGGAAGATCTCGTATAGTGGGAGTACCAGCATCCAGATGTCTAGTACAATACTGATGATAGCGTTACTCCATGCTACAGCATTGATATTGACGCATTTTCCTGGCCGTTCCTTGTCCCAAGATGTCCAATAATAGGAAATTGGCTGACATTGGAAGACCGCGACGATCACGAATGCGATGCCGCATAGTACATTGAAGGCAACTGTTCCCCAGAGTAGTCTGCGTATCAAGGGCTTGGGGAAAATCCGTAGGAAGAAGAAAAGCAACGTCAGCTTTGTGAGTGCGATCTGGAAGAAGTACAGGACCTCGAGCGCATACCTAGAGATCCATAGTCAGCTATGTATTGGTCACGTGAAATTGTTAGCATAGACGTACAGATAGCGAACAAAGTTCGTGATTTGGTCAAAGGTTACTGTGTAGACATCTCTACCTAATCCATTCGGTACGATACCTCTATCGATGACTGATGACAAGTTAGCTTGTGTATCAGGAACAGTGAGCCGACAAAATGCGTACTAATGACAGATGGCACACCAGCAATCAGTGCTGCAAGCACGCTGTAGTCGTCCCACCCCAACTCGCCAATTGAGTATACGGCCTTGTATATCACCCTCGACAAAGCGCAGAAGGCGGTTACAACGGAAAGGACGAGGTTGGAAATTCGGATGCTCTCGCCTGTGTAGCGCACTGGGACATTGCACGTTGTAGCAGTGAGGTTTTTGGTAGTCAAGGCTTGCCTCAGGGTGCAAGTTCTCAACACACATTCCTCTACATCTGATTGAAGTTTGGCGTCGGCGCATACACACGTTGTGTCTGTGAGCTGACAGGACGTGTCTTTGGCAGAAGAGGCCAAGCAAGTTTGCTACACATGCTCGTCAGTAGATTCAGAGCCTCCGGGCATCTTCGAGACATACTGCACAGGTAGGAAATTGTTCAATAATGGCAATAAGTCCAGATTGCTGTGTGTATCCGATCTGTGCCCATAGCAAGAGTGGCAATGTCCATTGGAGGGCTTTCATCGTTTTTTGCGCCTGCGCAAGATCCCCCAAGATTGTGTATGTGGATGGCCGTCCAAAATCGAAGCACCAGATCCGAACTTGTGTTTCTGGATAACTCCTGCAGGAACCAAAATGAATGTCACTTGTCACGGAGACAGGTTCCGATCACTCCACCCCTAGGGACATGCTCTCATATGAGAAGGAATGGTCCGCTAGAACAAGCGAGTGGCTGCCATTGCAGTCAAGCATCGGTACAAGGAGATTGGAGTCGGTAGTGGACCGAAGGCCATTCAGCCGCCGCTATTCGACAGTGATGTGTATTGCGTACCACATCTTAGAGGTTGCTCGCATGCGTGAACCCGGACGTAGGCATCGCACTGTCGACGCTAAGCCCATGCTCATCCGGCGAGAACCAATGGCCAAGGTGAAACGGACCACGAAACTCAAGATGGGTGCCGCCCCAGACTGTCTCAACGAGTGGGGCGTGCTGGTAGTGCACAGGTCAAATGCTTCCCTTGACGGAGAAGAGATATATTTTGGGAATGGCGCAAAAGCTTGCACATCCGGGACGTAGTGGCAAGGCGCCCCCAGGCACGCGTTGAACGTACTAGGTAGGGTACCGGTACCGTAAGCATGGGCAAGTTGGACATACTTGTACATATGCTACCTTACCACACTGGATCGTATTGTTTTGGTAGACAGCAGCTCGATGTAATCACATATGTGTGTGTCTCTCTGTTTCATCGAACAAGGTGTGACTGGTTCCTGGCCGTTGAAGTCTCCGTGCCATATGACATGTCTACAGAACATCGGTGGATGGGGTGAATGGATTCATCTTCGACTGGCGCAAAATTCTAGAGGCGACAAGGTTAGCGTGCGCACTGACCATTAGGTACATCCGACATCCTTTGGATCAATCCAATCCTCGTTTTAGATTTTGCTCTCCCCGTCCACTTCTTAGCCACCTACCACAGTAGGCATGGCATGCTCTACTGTCCTGCTTTTTTCTTTCTGTCCGAACAGCCACCGAGATCTTCAACATCGTGGAGCCACGTGGAATGGCCTGTCGGCGATTTGCTTTTGGCCGACTAGGTACCGTACCGGTACATGCAATGGCCCTGCGAGTCAACACCATCAGCCGTGGTCGTGTGCCCAACACTTTGTACAGTCATCAAGCAAAATAGCACCAGTGGCCACGGACTAACACCCTCTGCACGTTCCGGAGTCTTGCCAGGGCGCCTCAACCGCCAATGCAATTGACAAGAGTTCTCCCGTAGGTACTCCGCCACATGTCATCCCACCACATGCGCCTACATGCAGGTACATACATGCGGTAGTACCTACACACATTATTACATACGGTGGTAGTTCCCTTGGGTGTTGGCGGGTAAGGATGAATGTTGATGGAGCCGATCGTCTGGTACGAACTAATAGGCCTACTAGTCTATACTAGGAGCTGCTGCCGTTCTACCAGCTCAGTAGTCCAGGTACTACACACACTACCTTCGCCTTTTGGTTCGTCTGTCTTTTGTTGGGCGATGGAGAGTGCGTAGCTGGTGGATGTACACATGCACTTGTCTTTCCACTCAAGACTGCTTGTTTCGCGACACTGCAGCACCTGAGACGGCTGAATTTATCCC